TTTAGTATTTGTTTCCGTTATGACTGGGGACAAAATGTTGAAATATCAAAGCATTTTCATAGGATGAAGTGTTCTGGGAAGCAGTGTTTTTTTACGTCATTTTGACGTGTTTCAGACTTGAACTTGCACCTGGCTGAGCTTCCTGGCTGTCCCCATGCAAGTGCCTTGTGGTGCCAGGCTGCTTCTTTGACCAGCTCAGAACATCCAGGACTTCCCACCCAACATTCATCGCCAGGTCCCACGGTACCACACAGAAATCCAAGAAGGCAGAAAGCAGTAGTTCAGCACAGAATTCCTAATCCAGCCAATGGCTTGGTCTGTGTAGGAGAAGGGGCCATCAGGTCTCCATCCTGTGCGGGCTGAGCATACGCAAATGCTCGACACAGCTGAGCCCAAATGTTTCATTTCAGCATTGTTGGCCTTGTTTATTTTTTAGCATAAATGATGGAGAATTTTTAGCCAGCTGTATCAGTTTATTGGTCTGTCAGCACTCCAGGGACATCCTCACCTCGAACTGCACAGCAGGACCGTACCCCTGTTGACACAGATGGGCAGGAGAGTGGTGGCCAGTGTTGGGAATGTCTGTCCACATCAGCATGTCCTTGGCCTGGATCCATTCTGGGGGCTGGAGCTGTCCATCTATTCCCTCCATCACCATCTTCAAGACATCAGGCTCTCCCACTGAATCTGTCCTCCTCTTGTGGTCATTTGTTCCAGCCCTGCCCCAAAAACTCCTCATTTTCTCTAGAGGAGAAAACTCCTCTAGAGTTTTCTAGATGAAATCAAGGTCAGGGAGCATTGCAGCAGGTAGGGCCATCAGGAAGAAAGTCATCTTTGGAGGAAAGGGGAAAACCTCCTTCTCAACACAGAGCTGTAACAAAAATTCCCAGCAGTACAAGAGCTCTTGTGTCTTTTTCTGCTAGCCAGTCTCAGCATCAGGTTTTACCTCACCTGGCAGAAAAGGATGGCAGAACTGATTGTGAGCCTCAATTTTTGAAACACGTCTGGCTAAAAGACTGCTATTGTACATTTTCCACTTCTGATATTTTCTCACATGTTGTTTTGTGCTCTCCAACCATTGCCTTTCTGGGAATTCAGGTGATGTGTGGCTTTTGCAGGCATTTCTTTGCCTAACTTCATTTTTCCAGACATTTTTGGTATCAAGAAAAATAAGCCCCACTCCACACACACACTTTTTCTTTCAAACCTCAATTTCTCCTGGAGCAAGCATGGATCAGTAGCTGGCCAGGACCACACACAGCTCTTCTAATATCCCAGCCTGATGAACAAGAAGGGGATGGAAGAGACAACCAGCACACTGTGCAAAAGGAAAGAGATGAAATCCAGCCATCAAAAGAAATGGACTGTGAAGCCCTTGCTCAGATCAAAAAGCCTGTGAGCATTTAGTGACTCTTTTGATGGCATAAGGACAGAGGGACATGATCTGCATCTTAGAACTGTGCATGTCTGCATCTTAGAACTGTGCATGAGAGATGTCTCCAGGCATGAGCCCCATTTTGGGCAGGCTGGCTTGCCCATTGCTTTCTCTCAGATCCATTGAAGGTCTCTCCATGGGCCAGAGTCTTGTGGGCTGACAGGGACAGAGGTGGGCACAAACACACTGTGCATGTTGTGGGCTTAATGAACAAAGAGAATTTGTCATATGTTCCGTCAGATCAAGATATGACAAGGTCCAGACAGTGGAAGATTTTACTTCTGAAAAGACTGGGGCAAGATGTCAGTTGGAGCAAGTATCACCTGATATTGATTGGGAGGAGGCCTTTATCTCTCATAATACTATGCTAATTCAAACCAATTCAGATTTCCTCAGAGACTACAGTGGCAAGCTCAACCTGCCACAAGAACCAGGATTGTTCATAAGACCAGACTCATCTGACAAGACCTAAATCCTAGAAATAATGTAACCTGGTCAGAAAGCACCTGAATTATTGATGGGGAAGTTTACTGATGATCCCACTGCTGTATCATCTGCCATTCAGATGTCTGATCCCAATTCAGTCCAGGACTTCAGCCCTTTTGCTTGCCTCAGTGCCAAGAACCCTGAGTTCTCTGTGCTGGAAAAGCTGAAGCACATGGCTTTGTTTCTAGCCAAGCATCAAGGAAATCACACAATTGTAACTTTACAGTAACCTTAATAATGCATAACTTAAATAAGATGGGACAGATCCTGACATTTTGCATCTTCAAATCCATCTGACAGCTGCCCAGCAGGAGCTAATGAGGAGTCAGTCCAAGTGAGGAATAATTTGCTGGTAAAAGAGAAATCAAATTCTACTTCTGACTCCTCACAAAAAACATACTTGTGGCATCAGGGCCAAGGGGTTTGTCTCAAAAAACCTCACCTCAGTTTATTTGAAGAAGACACCAGAGAGTCAAATAACACTTCTCAGAGTGTATGATTCCTCAGGACTGTAGGAATCAGAATTTCCAGATGCAAAGTGCCATCACAGACTCCAAGAAAAAATGTCCAAACACACTCAGGCAGGGACAACTGCATCCTGAGCCACCCTGTCTGCTGACTGCTGGCCCCAGCTTTAGGGGGGCTGTCCTTCAGTACCCACCCATGCAGAGAAGGGTACCATGCTGACAGATCAGGTAAAATCACTCTTGTGGTCTGCTCCCTAGCTACACTTCTTCAGGGTAATTTTACCTCTCACATTTTTTACCCTATCCATAACTAATTTGTTTTCTACACAGTTGTTTCCTATGTCTGCTCCTAGACCTGACACCACTTCTCCTCCAATGATGCTGAGCACCTTCTTTGATACTCCATGCTAAATTAATTCTTGACCTGGAGACCTAAAGGGCACTAGAAAAAATATTTCCTCATTTTTTTTGGGGGGGATTGCCACTTTTCAGATGTGCTGGCTCCACCACTGTAGGAAAGGTGATCATGGAATGAGGAGCACTTTATTTGCAGAGTTGCTTCTTCCTTCACAGGGAAGAAAGAACAGCATAGATGGGGGATGAATGGGGAGTCCTCACAGAAATGCTGTCTGATGGTTGAAGGTGGTACCAATACCTAAAAGCAGCAACTTGCACAGGTCAATGGCAGCATTTGTAAGAAAACTCTGTTTCCTGTCCTTTTATCACCTCTGGGTCCAGATCTGTAGGAGATGGCTGTATTACAGCCAGGCAGAACAGCACATTCTCTAATAAGTTTAAAAGTTGAACCCTTTCACTCAAATATCTCTTTATCCTTTATGTCTCCCTATATCATCTGCAAAACTGGAGGTCAGTGTGCAACAGCATCTACTCACAGGTGGGTTCTCTCTCTCTGTATCTTCAATAACAAAAATTTAAAAAAATAAATTCTCAGCACAGGCACAGAAGCACCAGAACTAATTTTCCAACAGATGCAAAAGACCGTCAGCTAATGTAGGAAATTAAATGTTTAAGGAAATTATAGAATGAAAATACAAACTCTTGAGTGGGAGCCAAAAAATACAAATTCCATCATTTATCAAAAAAAATCTCCAAAATGGGCCTGAAACGGTGTGGGGAAAGCTGAATGAAAGGCTATATTCAGGCACAGCACTGTTTAGCTTACTTTTTGGACCTTTTCCCCTTATTGATGCTGTTGGGAGGCGCTCATTCCAAAACCTCTAATGCCGTCGTGTTCTGGGATGAGTTACTAAAAGCAACCATTCTTCCACATATGAAAACATTCGATTATTTGCATGTTTGGCGTCTTTAATGCCTCTTTTGTGCCTCTGTTTTTTTGTGGGGGGAGGCAGATGAGGGATCTTGAATTTCAGCAGTATTCTGATATAAACTTCCTCTGAGAGAGGGAAGGCAAAGAAGAAAAAGTTTTTGCAAGGCTGAAATAGAGTTGAGGCTGGCTGGCTTTCTCGATTTACTTGAAGGTTCTGATGGAGGTGTTATTCAGGACCTGTGCAGTGCTGCCAGCCCTGAAGTAAAGACTCAGCTCTAAAGCTGAAGCATTACCGAGCATTCCTTGAGCCATGTGACAAAAAATGCCCAATCTGAACCATCCCAAATTGTTACTGCATTGGCACAAACCCCAGCACTGTGCACGGGACAGATGAAGGGCCCAGATGCTCCTCAAGCATCTCCACACAGAAAGGGGTGATGGTATGCACTGCCAGGCATGTCTAGGCTGAAAACCTCCTGGCAAGTCACAGCAGTCAAGTCCAAACTCCTGTGTGGCCATCTTGGCTCTCTTTTTGCATGGGCTAGAAGGTTACAGGAAAGCTGGAGGCACCTGGCCAGCCACAGGCATGTTACCAGCATCAGGAAATACTTTAAATACTGCCCAACAGAGCTGTGAAACTCATTGCTACAGGGCTTTACCAGCACTCTGGGAATAAACAGATCATGGCTTGCTCCTTGGCACACTGCATGGCACCAAAACAGTCTGGTGCTGGGGACATCCCACCCTTCTGCAAAGGCAGGTTAGATCTTGGCTAAAACTGCTGCTGAGCTGAGCTGTGCAGAGGGCTAAAAGCTCACCAATGGCTGCTGGCCACAGCTCAGTGGAGAAGTGGTAATTCATTGTACCATGATACTTCAACTCCTTGTGATTTTCTTCCCATACACAACAAACCTAGCAGGAATCCAAAAGAGAATGGCTTGCACTTATGGCTAACAAGATGAGCTAGTCACAAGAGCCAGTTTTAAACAAACAAAAAATAAGATGTTTGGACAAAATAAAATTCCCCAGTGTTTAAACCAGTGAATGGGGATTAGGAAGCTATTTCTCTGAAGTTCAGCTATTCCCAAACTCCTGAGCTGTGCTGTATCTCTTCCCAGAGCCTCCAGCCTGTGCCTAGGAGGTACTGGCATGGGCAAAGCACTATCCTGCTTCACCTCAGGCAGGCAGAGCCTGCAGGGGACAGCCGAAGGAGAATGCCCTGATGAATCCCACAGTGGTCCATGATTACTCCACAGTCTCTCTGCATCCCGTTTTTGACTGGCCAGTGTTTGGCGCTGGAGCCAGGGATTTACCTGGAAAGGTGCTCCCGCAGCTCTGAGCCGCCCTGGTTTCCTCAGTCCCTCTGACTTTCCCATTTTACACTGCTTTTATTGGAGCTTTTATTATCGGTGAATAGAGGCCAGCTCCGCTTTCCTGGGACAGCAGCACCATCTAGAGCCTCCTCCGACATGTGCAGTCCCCATCTGCCTGCGGGAACACCTTCCAGCCACGGCTGAGAAAAACAAGAGACAAAAATAATGTGCAGGTGTTAGGGTGGAAAAGAGAATGTGGCAGAGTGAACAGCACCTCTGGGGCCAGTAAAGCTAATGTACAGTCATATACAGCTGGTGTGCTGCACTAAAAGCAGGGAGGTAGGCTTTGTACTGTTGGAGGCAAAAGGGCTGTGATTTGTAGCTGTAATCGTTCTTAGGTAGCTCTGTTATGTATTTGGAGAATAAAAAGCTCTTCTGGAGTGTATGATCCTTGTATACTGCTTCCATGATGTAAAACAGGGGAAACAACTTGGGCAGAGCTCTAAAAGCAGCTGGTGACAGAGCCAGGGCTGCAGCCTGTGGCCACTGCTCACAATTTCCCAGCCAACAGTGGGGACATTGCTGCTTTTCCAAAGGCAAACAAAGAGGGTCACTGCCTCCAGTGTGCTAAAAACACCCAGCCAGTTCAGATGGCAGTTCCTCCATGCACCTGGGCATGCAGCGGTGCTCGGCAGTGCTCCCAAGGGCCACTTCAGGGGACAATTTACATCCTGCAGCAAAACACCTTGGGAAATCACCAGTGGAAGAGAGCCAGAGAAACCCAGGTCTCTGGGCCATTCACTTAAGAGTGGGGCTCGATGATCTTTGTGGATGCCTTCCAACTCAGAATATTCTGTGATTCTGTGAAATTCAATAGGAAGGGATTTGTAAGACAAAGCTCTAAGATAATGCTGGCAAGCAGAGCATGCACCATGAGCACAGAGGAGAGCAAAAGTGAAGAACATCCTTCATACCTCTCTCTTCTGGTCTGGGGGAAACCCCTGCCTCATAACCCTTCACTTCAAATTCCCTGGGCTGGCCTCTGAAGGACTTAGATGGAGAGGGGACCCAGTACCCTAGGCATGAGTAGGATAGTGTGTCTGGAAATGCCATTTCCTCAAATCTGGGTTAGGCAGACACCGAGGTTTGTACAGGAAAGGACAGTCCTGCCTGGCCTCAGTGCTGAAGCCACCACTGAGGAGGTTACAGCAGCTGTGCACATCTGCACTGCGGTACACACAGAAATGTGGGAGGAAGAGCTGGGTGCACCAAAAAAAAAATAGGAACAAACTGTCCTAACCTATCCTCTCTGTTTTTGCAATAAATCTGTGTTTTGTTTTGCTGCTGCAGGAGCCATGGGGCAGTGAACACAAGGGAACAGACAGATTTCTCCCTCTCCTCTGCAGAGAGCAGGACCTGCTGTGCTGGCAGCAGCTGAGCCAGGCCCCAGCAGCATTCATTAGACAGAGGTCCTGGAGAACAGATTGCACCTTGTGGCTACACCCATTCTAGAATCCTAGATGGGAAAATACCCTGTCTATGCCCATGGTGTCCTTGGCCTCCCACACCAGTGGGGGAGCTGGGGCACAGCACAGCAGTGTGGGCCAGGAACGGGTTTTCCAATAGGTAATGTGGATGGAAATCTTTGTCCCTCCTGAGGAATTGTTTTAATTACTTTAGGGAAAGTGGTTGTATGCAGTAGGACACCGCAGTTTTGGGTACCAAGGAGCAGATAAACACAAGTCCCAAAGCCACAACTGCAAAAATTCCTGGCAGGAGGGAGCAGAGATTTCCCAGGAGATGCTGAATTGCCAGGACCACGTGTCTTTGATCTTTGATCTTGTTCACTGTCTCGCTGTCTGAGTAACAAGGGACTGTATGGGAATAAATCAGCATATTAATGGGAATGCTAATTGCAGCTGAATCTGGGATGGACTAAAATATACACGTTCCTTTAATTTACGAATTCTACAATCCAGTTTGAACTGCACTTGGAACAGTTAGTGAGAGCAACTATTATTTTAAAGATCAACCACCCTTTCAGTGATTTTGATATTTAGATTAAAATAAAAATTCAGCTAACAGGACAGATCCCCATTTCAACATCGCAGCATAAACCAAACCATCTCACTTACAGTGCAGAGGCCACTCAAAGTAATTGAGGTCAGGATAGAGCTCAGTATTTGAAAGTGTGCCTTTTTAATAAGAGGCAGAAATACACTTCTGTTCCCATTTCTCCCTGGCTGAACAATGCTGCAGGGATGTGTAATTGGCATTTCAATGCCTGTTTGCAGTGACCACATTCTTGAATGTCTGTAACTACAATTCCTACATATCATATATATAAATATATGTACAGATATATGTGCATGTGTGTCCGTGTGTACAGGCTGATTTCCTACCACTCCTCCCTGTGCAGAGGAGTCAAGGTGTTACCTGTTATTCCATTCCAATTTCCCCTGCCCATGACAGCTTTACAATGGGGTTTAAACATCTTTAGCTCTTTCTTTTCTTTATAGGTGGCTTAATGAAGTCTAAAAGAACTGAAACCTCACCCACAGAGTTATACATGACCCTCAGCCTTGCCTTGCATCTGCCCCCACTGAAGCCAGAGAGAGCCAGTGTCAAAGCCCACTCCCTTATGGGAGCCTCTCAGGAGGGGATGAGCTACAGGCCCAGTTATGAAGGTTAAATGTGCCTTACAGAACTCTCTTGAGGGCAAGAGGAGAGGTGAGAAACCACGTTCTGGATCTTCCCCACCTGATTCCAAGGTCTGCTCATTATCTGCCTCAGAATAAGTTCCCAGCCCCCACAGTGTCCTGCAGCAGTGAGTTCCAAACACCAAACCAGCACTTGTCACTCAGTTCTCTACTTTGCATGAATTATTCCCAGGCTTTGGTTATCTAATGTAGCCTAGTTGTCCAGTCTGCCTTCTCTTTTCAGGCTATCCTCCTGCCAGGAGGTTTTTCCTCCCCTTTGTTTTATTTATGGCTATGGCTCCAGAGTGAGGGTGTATCCCCCTGGAGACCACTCAAGCCATCTTAGTCCCATCTGCATTATGTCACTGTATGATATCAGAATCTGCATTAGCTGAGTATCAGCTAGACATATTTCCAGTGACAGAGAAGCTGTGATAGCCATTGGAAATAATTTTAATTATTCACTATTTCCTATTTTTCTACTGTCTTTCCATTAAACCTTCTGTAGGTCCCAAAAGCACCTCACTAAGGTCATCTTCATCCTTTGGCTGCCTGAGGTCTCAGTCCCAAGATCAGATGCCAACCTCACTGGCACAAGTGCAGCATCCAAAGCTACTCCCTATGACCTCTCCAGAATGCCACTGCTAAGAGGCTCCTCCAAATCCCTCCTTCCCCCACCCACGTGTGGAAGTTTCTTCATGGCTTTCTGTGTTTGTCACAGACACTTAGTACCTTCATCCACCCCAAAATGTTTGCCTGGAAATTAAGACATTTGTCCAGTTTCCCCATTATAGCCTATTCTCATTTCTTTCTATGTCTTTGCTCAGGAGAAAGTGAATCTGTCTTGGGTGACAGCTCAAACCTGAAGATGATTAAATTGTGGCAAAGCCCAGAGCTTTTATAGCATCTTAATCTGGAATACAGCTCTACTCCTAACAGAAAGGCTCAGAGACCAGGTCCAGGAATGCATACACCTCCTTCTATACTAAATTTAACTTATGGTGTGTTGTCATACATAGAGCTGTTAACTGGAGTGATTATCTTCTTTAAGGGGGAGCTGCAGTAACACTGGGATATGAAGAGGCTGCTGCACATGAACCACCGAAGTCAGATCTCTGCAAGAGAGCCAGGGAAATTATAGCACTGCTGATGTCAGTGTATGAAAATATATTGATTTCTGATTATTCTGAATATCCTGATATTTCTGTTTATCTATGCATGCATATAAAAATTTGCACTGCAGATTCACGTTATACAGGTATAGGCAGAGACTGTGTTTGTTTCTTTTGCAGAAACCTTGTGGCAGGCTGAAACACCCAGGTGGGAGCAGAGTCCCCAAGGCCCCAGGGGCAGTGGTCCTCGGTGACACTGGTGCAGTCCCTGGCACACAGCCCCACAGGGATGTAAGAAGGAAAAGGCCAGAGGATAAGTGGTGCTGGGATGACTCTGGATTTACCACCACCAGCCTAACCTCCTTAAAGAACTCCTTGTGGGGATATTACAGACAATTATAGAAGTTAGCCCTGCCTTACAGCATGGGAATGCAAAAATCAGCTTTGAGTCCCCCCTCAGCCCTTCTGGGGATTTGATCCATCCCAGCCTAAAGAAGGATGCTGAGAAGGTTGAATCCCCCTCTGAAAATGCCTTTCCCTCCCCAGTGACCAGACAAAGGGCAAGACAACAAACTCATGTCAAGCACATATCCCCACTTTTAAAGAGCTACATCCATCAAGAATAAACCCCCTCTCATCCTCTGTGAGTGTGAAAGGACCCTCTAGGAGAGATTTCAGAGGAGGGGGAATATGCCAAATTGTAGGTGAGGACAAAAGCCCACAGAGGGTTTTCAGCACCAGGAAGGGTCTCCAGCTGTAAACTCCAGGCCCAAGAGTCCCCACTTGGCTGTGGGAAGATGCACACACACTGCTAGAGTTTAGCAGGCATCTCCAAGCTTCAACTTCACCATGGGCTGAAGCACATCTGGTTCTGAATATCTCACCAAATAAAAATTTAAACTGCTAAAAAAAATTAAGAAGAAGGACTTCACCTCTGACCATGGCTTCACAAGCTTGTACTGCCACAGGCATGGCTGGAGTGAGTGGCCAGTGGTTTAACTGGGCAGACGTGCTGTAAAGTAAATACAAAAGGGGTCAAAAGTAAATAGTATGTTTTACAGCTGTTATACTTATTCTGTTGAGGTGTTTTGATACCAGATCCAGGGAGAAGAGGGTAGAAGTTTGATTCACTTAATGGGAACTGGCTCTAGTATAAATATCCTTTCAAGATTTGTCAGGCACTGCTATAAAAGGGGATGGCAGGGTGGGTAAACAGACCAGCTCTTTAGTCCTGCACATTTATGTTCAGTTTCACAGCCACACACTGATTCCAGCTCTCTCTAGATCAACATGCTCTTGGTGAGAGGCTTTGCTTCTGAAGCTGCAAACCCTGCAGTCGAGTGCACAGGTGAGGTTCTCAGCTCCTGACAAAGAGCATAAGCTCTCCCTCTGTTCATAAGACATCACAATAGCGCATAAACACTAAAAAAAATGCACAGTAAGGAAGAACATTGAGATTGGAAAAGGCCTCTAAGACCATCAAGTCAAACCAGTATCTTGATACTGCCAAGTCCACCACTAAGCCATGTCCCCAAGTGCCACATCCACACATTTTTTTGGACAGTTCCAGGGACACTTCCAGGTCACTCCAATGCTTCCCTAGGCAGCCCATTTCAATGCTTGACCACCCTCCCAGTGAAGGATTTTTTTCTTAATACCCAGTCTAAACCTCCCCTACCACAACTGGAGGCCATTTCAAATACTAACATGCAAAAATATTGTTATATAAACCATTGCTGCTGAAGCTTTCCTCATGACTATTGACATTTCTGCAGTAGAGAACACCAGAAATACAAACAGGCACCCATTTAATTTTCTGCAAAAGCAGAGCTTTTAACAAATGGTACTATGCAGCATACAAAAAACCTCAAAAGAGCTGAAGATCCTAAAAAATTTTAGCCAGATCCAAGCCTACACAGCAAAGCACCATGGGATTTTAGTTCCATAAAAACCTTTACCAATAGAACCAAGTGCCTAAATTATAGCACAGGCCAAGAGAAATATGGCAAAAATATGTGAAAGTCAATGGAAATGCACTGTGAATTGGAGGGCTCATTGGCTGCTCCCTAAGAAATGGTTTCTTGTGTTTTCAAACGTGCTAAAGAAGCAGCCAAAGAAAACCTGTGGGTTTTCATAAAGAAAACCAATGAGAGTAAATGTCTCTCCTTGGTGCTCTCGCACAAGAATTTCAATTCAATGCCTTGGGATAAATTTTACACATCAGGTGTGCCCTTCACCCTTTGGCTGGCAGATGTCCAGCCAGGCTGCCCACAGCAACTGGCCAGACCCTGATGCCAGGCTGTGTCTAAACAATTCCTAGGTGAAGGTTTTAAAGAAGATGCTGCTGGGCACAGGAGCAATGGGTCTCCACTGAGCCATAAACTACTCAGCCCAGTTCCTCTGCTCTCCTGGGCAGGTTCAGTGGAGGCAACACGGGCTATCCTGGAGCTGTGCAGACACTGATGGCCTTGCTGGCAGCTCTCACTCCACTCATGTGGACATTGGGCGTTCCCTGACGTCTCCCAGGTGCATCAGCCTATGTGTCTGTGAGATATAACGATGTGGGGCAGAGCAGAGCTGCTCTGGAGCAGTGTTGGCAACAAAGCAAACCAGTACCAGAGCTTCTGGGAGTGATAGATTTCTAGAGAAAAAACAAACCAAACAACTTTCAGACCAATGTGGAAGCAAGCAGTGTGTGTAATGGGCTGATGATGGGATAAAGAGGAGCAAACAAAAATGCAATGAATTTTACTGCCTCGTTGTGATTAAAGCATATGAATTGAAGCATTTGAGAATGATGGCCCCAGGAATGCAAAAGCTAAAGAGTCATTTGATGAACAATGAGACTCCATCAATAAAGAAAAAAAACACAATTATTTGGAGTTTGGTTTTTGTTGTTGGGGCTTAGGTTTTTGTGGATTTTTTTCACTTGAAACCAAGGAATGGAGGACAGAATAGAGATTTCTGCTCCACAGCTGAGAACTTTGGCATCTACATACAAACCAGGAAGCATGAATTCTTCCTGACTCAAGAGAGAGCTATGTGGGACCCAAGATTTTCAGGGGGAATTACTGCAGGCAAAAGGCTAGACCTGTAAACAGGAAGGCATTAGAAATGTCCAGGGAGAGGATGTGATCAACAAACACTGGAGCTGAGCAAGGACACAGCTTCAAGTGAAGAGAGGCTGGAAATAGAGAAATCATCTGTTGCAGCGTAGTGCAGGGATGTAGAAAAGTAAAAATGTACTTACAGATTAGACACCAGAGCAGGGGGAAAGTGTTGTACTTCCCTAGCTAGTCCTACTTGCTAGAAGTCAGGCAAGGAAAAAGCAGATTTTGTGAGTCTTTGGAACCCTCCAGTACAATGGCAGCTGTTTGAGCAGGTCTCAAGGCTGGGTGGAATTAGACAGGATTAGAAGATTTTACCCTCCAGTCCTCTCCCCTCCATGTAAAGATGCTTTTATTCCAGGACAGGATAAGTCAGGAGAGAGGCTGTCCTGAACTGTGGCTCTGAAAATGTGCTACCTCCCCCAAGGAGGAGAGCACAGCAGGACAGGCTGAGCTGTCCCTGGCATCCCAGGCACTGAGAGAAGAGCCTGCACCCTAAAGAAAATGTGAAGCACCTGACAGCTCTCTGAACATATCCTCAGAGGTAAATCTCAAAGAGGTGTCACAGAGACAGTCCAGACCCAGCCAAGGATGTGCTAAGCAGGAAGCCAGCCCTAAACTACAGAAACAGTGCCGAGCAACCATGGGCCAGAGTGGGGAAAAGGCATAAGGACAGCACAGCCAGCAGCCCCCATGGACTCAGGTGTGGGTCAAACCCATGAATGGATCCAGTCCTTTGGCTCCATGAATGTGGATCCATCATAACTCCTCACCATGCCTAACTCCAGTGGTGAGCCTGTCCAACACAAGTAGCCCAAAGTCCCAGGAGCTGCTCCTCAAGTCCCCTCCTCCCCTTTCCAGAGGTGTCTTCTCCAGGAGCCCTCCCAGACCCACATTTCACAGCACACAAGCCCAGGTAGCAATTTCCCAGGTGCCCCAGGCTGAGCAGCAGCGCTGCTGTGCTTGTCCTGCAGCAGGAGCATGGCTGTGCCCGCACCATTTGCTCCTCATGGCACACGTCAGCCCCAGCACCGTGGCCCTGGCATTGCTCAGCCACTCGCTGGCAAACCTAAGGCAGCCCCTGGTTGGATGGCTCGGAGTATTTTAAAGCATATTCAGCTTTTATATTTGACAGCGGCTCGCTATGCACATTACAGTATAAAAGATTTTATTTGCTCCCATTGTTGCAATGTTTATCCCCCAAACTCTTTTAATAATGGGTTTTTGACAAAGTGTTTCCCCAGCAGTGGGAACGACATACACAGCCCAAAGCAAACACTTGCAAGATAAACATCCTTCACATCCCAGGCTGGTCCTAACCCCTTGGAGCTTGCCATTACCTCCCTTGGAGCAATTCAGCACAACTTAATCAAAGTTAAAAATGATATTGTGTGATTTTATTTTTTGTACTTGCTCAGCGAGCTTTTATTGGCAGCTGCTGCCAGGATCTGGGACTCTGCCAAATTCCCTGGTTATATTGCTCCAGTGTGGACAAACAAAGAAGGCCTATTTAAAAGTATCTTGGACACAAATAAAGTAAAAACAACAAAATAAAAAACAATGTGCAATTATTTGTTTCCTTTATGAAGGGCCTCCTTCAGAGTCCTTTGAAATTGATTCTGATTTCCACCTACTAAAGTCACCCAAGTGATTTATTTAATATTGATAGACATTCCTGAACCAGAATGTTACAACCAGAGGCACAAAATCCAAGAAAAAAAGTCAATCTACCTCTTCCTTTCATATTACTCTTCCTGAGCCAAAATTCCAACTTTAGCTCCTTGTCTTTCCCAGTAACATTTGACATTTCTAAATACAACTCAAAACACTTTTTAACTTTGTGTTTAAATTATTTAAGTATCATTATATTAATTCAGAATTTTATAGTAATTAAATATTAAGGCCCCTGTCAACAACACATGCCTTTGAGAGCCTGGATTGATCTCCCCACCTCTGACATTTCTGCATGAGTGCTGCCACTTTCTCGTGTCCTTTTGCAGGTAATGAGCACTCACTCTTGTGAGTGACACTGTGGGTCCTGTCACCTTGTTACGGTCACTGCCATGGCACTGGCTCCTTCAGCAGTTAAAATGTCAGAAACACAAAGGCACTGCTGAATCCACAGCCTGAAATTCATCACTTTGCACAGCACAGCCCCTCACCCCGCATCCTCTACAAGAGGAAGGGGTGCAGAGAGAACAGGAGAGAGGGAGAAGAGGGGAGAGGGATAGAGAGAGAGGAGAGAAAGAGAAAAGAGAGAAAAAAATATCTCCATTTGACAAGGCTATTTGGCAGTATTTTGGAGCCAGAATACCTCCTGTCAACAACACACACAATGTGCCTCTGAAAAAACAGAGATGTACATGTAGTTCCTTGGCAATTGGAAATAATAGTCAATATACAGACAAACAGATTTTGGAGCATATGTTTTTGAACTCCCTAGAAACTGCTGATTTTCCATTTTTTTTTCCAGGTCACCTCCAATTTATTATGCAATGGCAGTCACTTGCTAGTGTGCACAGTCCTGAGTCACAATAAAGAATAAGGAAAAAAACGCCCTCTGTACCAGCAGAAAAGTCTGACAGCAAAAGAGGGCTTAAAAAACAAGCTTCTTGTTTCTTCACCAGTGGTTTCAAAAAGGAGATTAGGGAGTAAATAAAACCCCTGTTTTGCTTCTCTCTCTCACTCAGCAAGTTTGTTTCTGAGAGCGCATCTTAGAACTCATTTAAATTCTAAGTATGAAAATTTGAAGTCTAAGTAAAATTCAGGTCATTTGCAAGAATTTTTTGGTCTCTGGAAACATCTGAATTCCCACCTGTAATAGAAAGAAGGAGCTGAGGTGTCTGCCTTCTGTGCTAGACCATCTTCCCCACCTTGACTCCACCCAGGCTCAGCAGGTCCACCTGCACCAGGGCTTGTGTTACCTGTGGACATCAGACAGGTCAGCCTGCTCCCAGCTGGGAGCTGCCAGAAACTGCTTTTGCCCCTGGACACACTGCACTTTGGGCAGCCTCGGGGACATGGCACAAGGGCTGGAAACCCTTCCTGCAGCAATTCCACTTCCTCCACTCCTGGAGACAGAGACACCCCCGTACCTGCAGTGTCTGTGCCAGGGACATGTGCCAGAACACACGTGGACTTGTTCTGTGCCTCACAAAGATGCTGCTGTCTTATTCTAGCAAGGTGGGTTTAATTCTCCTTACTT